GACTCGAGATCAAACCCTTCTTTAGATCAGAAAGCCGGCAGCAGAGTTGCACCTTCACGTTGGCGGTTGGAGGTCGAGCGTCGGAATCTGGCCAATTTGCTCATTCGAAACGTAGTCGCCTGGCATGTGAACAACTGCGGGTTCAAAGTATATGCTTTTTCTATGTATACCATATATAGATATATCTGTATACATTGTGTACATATACATATGCAATCACCATATGTATGTACATATACTATTCTACTGCTGCCCTTTGAATACATAGAATCTATAATTACAATAAACATATATATATATATATGTTGTATGCATGTATACCACGTGCTGTTGCGGAGACGACAGGTTTGCAAAAGCATTCATTTCTGCGATGATCAACCCTTTCCATTGAAACACTTGCGGTGAAAACCACATGTCCAAGTCAGAGCCCATTTGCTAAGCGCACATCCTGTTGATTTTTGCGGTTGACCCAGATGCGACGGTGTGTGTATATATGTTGACCCTTCCTTTGCAAAGTTCTACTCTATGGATGTGGTGTGCTTGGGCTTCGACAACCCCAACAAATCCACATATATATAGCCGTATAGCAAGGTTCTTCCCTGCTATAGGCACCCAAAACCCACAATTCAAAATCCTCTCCACTCAGAAGCAGCCGAAGTGAGTGCTCCATGCAGGACTTGATGAAATGATCCGCAAGAGTGGGCATACCTTGGGAAGGACCGGCATGAAGCACACCGCATGTACTTATAGACTTGTAAAAGAACACGACTTTCACTGTGCTTGAATGTTTTGCGAAGTGACAACAGGCATTCCAAAACAGGTTGAGAGGCCGTCAAAAAAGGATAAGCATGTTTGTTTGGGTGTCCTTTTGCCCTTGAGGTTTGCATGGGTTCCTTGTTGCTCCTGCATCATAGTTACAATTACATAGTTCGAAACAAGTAGAAAAAAGAGACACACACTCAAACATATATTCTAAAATTTGGTTGATTTGAGAAAGGTTTCCTGGCCACCCACTTGTTGCGCTTGGTCCAGCCATCACACTGCATGCTTTGAGTTTTTGCGGGGTCGCTTTGCTCGCGTCTGCTTTTCTGCAGTCTTGGTACGTTTGGAAGGCCCTTTTTTGGTGGGCTCTTCCGCAGGTGTGCTGCCATGTGCTTCTGGTGCAGGCAGTGCTTGCTGCTGGCTGTAGTAGTATTCCGCATTCCTACCACGGAAGCTGGAACGGCGGCAATTGCTGCAGCCATTGTATATGCAACGGCAATTTGCACAGCCCAAGACTTGCCCAGGCAAAACTCGATACATCCATGACCTGCCCATCTTAATCCGATCTTGGGCTGGGTGTTCAGAGTTATCCGGCTTGCTTGCCCCATCAACCTTGTTGGATGCGGCGGTTGATGATGTCTTGCGCTTTCTACGTGGTTCTGCGGACTTGGCTTTGGATCTGGTATTGGCAGCCTTTCCCTTGGCTCGCTTCCGGGCTGCCGGGTCAGGAACAAAAGTGGGCTCGTCAGTCGATGCACTGGCTTGCTCTACCAAACCCTCGCGGCTCTTACTTTTCTTCAAGATATTGCGCTTTGAGCGCCTCTTGGTGACACGGCCACCTGCACCTGGTGAAGTGTTCTTTTTGCCGGACTTTCCTTTCCCAGGTTTTCGTCCCTTTTTCATGTTACTCTTTTTCGTGGTGCGCATTGCAGACTGCATCATGGGGGTGATTTCCGGTTCTGATTCCTTGGCCTCACCCTTGGCCTCAGCATCGACCCCTGAGCCTTTGCCAGAAGCCGGCTCTACAGTGTTGTTCTGGATCTCGTTGCCCTTGACCTCAACCTCGGCCGGCAAGTTGGCAACCTGCTCAGGTTCCACCTGACGGCGGGGCAAGAATCGATAACCTGACCAATCTTGGTTGACAAATCGCAGAATTCTTAAGACACGATCCCAGCAAACAAATTTTGGCCTTCGGCGGTGTCTCACAAGGTGGTGGATGATGGGCCGCAGGGGGAGTAACGATCTGACCGAAGTCCATTGGCTGGGTCTCAGCCTACAAATGGATCTGTGCATAGGAACTTTCCAGACAAATAGCGAATAATAAGACGATAGAAAACTATAAACAGGATATACGGGCATGGCCCAGCCTCGGAAATGTCGCGCAAAGCAGGACATGGAACAGGTCGACCCTGGCCACCTCAAACCAGCAAAGTAGCTGTCAGAACTGAATGAGAGTGAAAAATCGGCCCAACATGGCTGCGATATACCTTTTCAACAACGGTTTGCGCGCCTTTGGCCAAATCATTCTCCACAGACCTTGGGGATGAGTACTGCGGCAGCAATATTTCGATACTATGTCAAGAGCATGTTTACAAGAGTACCTGGGCGCAGAACTCACGAGAACGACTGGCCAGCCGCATCATGTGAAGTTGATGCAAGACACTGTCCAGTTCCTTCTGCTGCTCCGCAGTCATTGGAACGCTGCATGCCTCGCCCAACACATCAAGTTGCAGTTGACTTTCACCGGGAGAGCCCACCATGGTTGGCTCGTCAGAAGCCTTTGGTGTCACTTCTGAAGCCAAACTTGAAGCTGACCGCTTCTCTCTGTACTGTGGCACATTCCCTGACTTGAGAGTCGGGTCAGGTGATGGAGCAGGTGAAGCAGCCTCAAAGCAATCAGACTCCAACCTGCTAGGAGTCTTGGAAGGATCAAATGCATGCTGAACATCTTCAATGGCCCACTTGGCCCATTGAGTTCGTAGATCCCGGATCTTCTCGAACAACGCCTTGACCTTTTTGTCCTGCAACAACTGATGGAAACACACATGCATGTACCAGGTGGGGAGGGAACATGTAAAGAAAAGCGAACATGCTGGCAACAAAAAACAGCTATATCTTTGACCGCTGCAGTCCCGGGGTCGCTGGTTTCTCTTGGCAGCGTCGTTTTGTCGACGAAATGCAAAGGTATAGAGCTGGCGCAGGTCCCAGGCTGCTATGTAGACTTCGCGTGCTCCAGGCTCATAGTTAACGTCTTCAAACAGTTTCTTCACCTGCATGCATTCTGTGGATGAAATACATGCATGGGTGATGGGTCATATACACATGGACAGCTATAGTAAGCACACCTCAACTCTTTCCTTACTCCCTCAACTCTAGTGGACACTGAAACAAAGACTTCGGCCTCAGGTTTGAGGTCATCAATGCTGATGAACTGGCCATCTAGCTCGTCAACCATCACAGTCAGAACATCAACATTCAACTCCAAAGCTTGTGTGCAAACCGGGTGAGCTGGTTCGATCTCCTCCTCCTGGGTTTCTGCTGGCGCAGATGTAGATGGCCACTGCAAAAAGAACTTTTGCTTCATAAGCCTGTGGCGAATGACCCTGTTGTTTTCCCATGCTGCTGCTAGCTGGCCGGCTGCTGCCATTGCCAAACCAACCCTCAGACTAGTTCGAGTTCAGCGCACACCGCAGAGCCTTTAATAGTTGCATGGTGATGCACAGGTGTTCGCTGCTTCATATGTATATGGCAAAGAAACATGTTAATCCAACATGCCCAAACATGAGCATGGATCAAACATTGCCCGTGGCAGGATTGGCGATTCATTGAGAAGAACATGCCAGCCGTACTGGGCATTGAGAGTGAGGAAATACTTGCTTCCTCCATCCTGCATGCTCAAGAGGTCGATTGAACAAAAATGACGGAACTGTTCTATACTTACCTTCACAGAGACAACCCCTCTTGTCGAAAACGCTACTGTCCCAGTCCTCATCGATCTCTCAGCCGCAGGGTCCGTCGTGCTTCCATGGGCATACAGGATATGGATACAAAGTTGTCATACAAAGTGCAAGCAACTTTCCTACATGGTCTACAGGTTCGTCGTTGGCACCTGTCAACGTGACTTGTTTTGCTTCAGTTTATCTATTGTAGGATGCCACATGCCCTTTGAGCCTTGCTCATGCTGAAGAAAACAGACCTTCAGAGGTGCCTGGGCACGCGGGGAACCTGAAGGCAGCGATGGGAAGTGTCAATATTAGAAAGTGTACGATTTTTGTTGGGTATCTGAGAAAGTGAAGCCAGAAACATGCAACTATTCAAAGTTTACCTTTTAAACAGGCAACTTTCGCGATCCAGGTAGGCTCTATATATAGGATCCATTTTTGGGCCATTGGAACTCAGGTTTTTGAGTTTCAAGAAGCCTAGATTCACTGGCTCCGTCTTCCGTTGCTTCCTTTAATTGCCTTTTATTGGGCCCTTCTTGGGTTGCTCTGATTTTCTCATTCAGAACTGCAAAGTCACAAGGTTTGGGTCAGGCTCTTCAAGTTTTTTGTTGCTTGTGCTGCTTGGTCTCCTTCTTCTTCTTTCAATTTCCACAGTTGCAATAGCTATTATTCCGAAATGACTTGCGGATTGTAGGTTCAATACAATACAGGTTGCAGACTTCCATGATCATACGATTATGCACCGTTCCATGCCTGGCCTGGTTGCATTGGGAAACAGCTTGTTTGTTGCTTTGTACAGGAATCTTTTCATACGATGCAGGCAAATTCGTTAGACCTAACGAACTCGCCGCAGCAGGATGCCCGAACCCGACGTTCGCTCGCTTTCCTTCGGACGCATTTCTCCAAAAGGTGCGTCGAGGATGTTGACGTGCACAGCTATGGCAAAAACTGCTGACCAGCAGTCACAAAGGGGTGGTGTTTGGTCCCATCCAGTGAGTGGATGTGACAAGAGCACTCCGAGCCTCCATTAAGCGCCCCTTTGTGACTGCGGCTGGTATCTATTTTTTCTTTTGAGCCAAAGTTTCAAAGACCAGGAGCTGACCTGCACAGCTCGAGAAAGTCTGGTGTGGTCTCTTTCGATCTACGCACTCCCCCTTGCCGGGATGTCTGACATCACACTGGAGTTCCAATCCTTTCCGCCCTCCAAGCGGTCACCTGCATGAACTCCTCACCCGCAGTGTGCACAGCTCGCTTGGGTCGCTGTCGTCGCTGTCGGCCGCGCCGTTCGGCCCCCAGGTCACGGTGTCCGGAATCCGCCGACGGCCTGAGCTGAACGGTTCTCAGGGCGAGGCAAGGGACTGCGAGTTCCGGTCTTTCGGAGACTTGGAGGGGTCCAACTGGTAGAGTTTGCCTATAGGCAGACTCACTTGGATGGTGTTCCAGCCTCTCACCATGACTTGGATGGTGTTCAGACTCACTTGGATAGATGGTAGAAATTCCTGACCATCTGGGTCACCCTTTCTTTTGGAGAGGGTTGGTTGATCAGTTGACCATCTAAGGTATGATGCGATGCCATGAGCACCCAGGTATTGTGCACATCAACCCACAGGACTCGCCCAGGTGATACCCAACTGATAATACACAATCAGAAACACCGTATTATATATCGTATATATCATCATTGAGGAGTCATAATCAACACTATTGCAACAATCACCCACTGCATAATGTAGACTCTCGATATATAATTCCCCCGAAGACACGGATTGAAACACCTCTTCAGGCAAAATCTGTATCTAAGAGTCGTACGCTACTAGCGTCTCGGCCATCGCTATGAGCTTGGCCATCGCTAGTAACTAAGAAGCTACCGTAGCTCCTGGCAGTGACTAAGAAACTACGACCGTAACACGGCAGGTGGTCAACACCTCCCCCGACGAGTTCGGCCGCATCACCGCCGCTTGGCTGTGGAGCGGTGGAGGTCGGAGGGATCCACCGGTGTTCGGGTCATATCCTCTAAACCCACCCCAAACACCTCTTGAGGAAGTACTTGGAGCCCTGGGGTATATGAGTGGACGTCCCTTAAATAGATAGTGGCACGGTGTCCAATACATGTTGAAAGGGATGGCAAACTCTTCTTTCTATTTGGGGATCGTCTGAAGGAAAACGTGGTGCCCCCCAGTCGGTGTTCGGAACTCGAGGACCGAGCCGGACCGAGCGAACTTCGAAGGATGCTCATGTGTGTTTGCGGCACCATGCGCCTGGTTTTAGAGATGAAGAAGTGCAGACATGTTGCATAGTTGGAGGATCCACATACCTTCTCAGAAGCTACTACTGGACCTCGATGCCGATGTAAAAGTGTCGAACACATCACCCTCTGGAAGAGACATGCGATACACTCACTCCTTGAAATCATCGCGGAAGTGGAAAACCACCACCTGTTTGATGTTCAGAAAATGGTCCTGCAAGGGGCCATGCCATCTACGTAACCAGACATTTTTTTCAGGGAGTGTAGAAGCAATTGGGTTGTCGGTCGATTCCGTCGGTCGCTTGGAAAAGGGTGGCAGCCTGCGCAGCGCTTATTCACTTTTTTGACGAAGCAACGGGGAAACTGACGACGATGGTGGGAAGATGATGTTAAAGACAACTATAGTCAAGGACCACTGTAGTTGTGGACTTCAAGCACTTAGACCACTGAGCCGTCAGGAAATAACGATTTCTCTTTAGAAGTGGTGAGTTGGCTCATTGCTAGCAGGCACGTGACCACCTTAGCTGGTCTTGTGCCATTGAGTCGCCAGTCTGAAACCAAAGTACGTACGCGAAATGAACACGTCCCGTGATGGCCACCAGATCAGCCATCATATGCTCGGGTGTTTCGCTGCAAAAAGGACAAACCTCAGGATGCACCTTGCCCATGTTACAAGTTTTAAGGTTGTAAGTTAGAATGTATTAAGTTATGTAATGGTATACCCTCTCTCCAACAATCATCGTTACGTGGATGGCGCCCTCGGAAAGACCCTCTTTTACTACAAACAGTGGGCCGATTCAGATATTCCATGTTTGTCGCAGGGAGGGTATACCAGCAGTCACAAAGGGGTGCTTAAGGGAGGTTTGTGGTGCCCAGAACATCCACTCACTGCATGGGACTAAAAAACCACCCCGTCTTGTGACCCCTGGTAGATGGGTTTAGTCTTCTCGGCGGATTTGCAGCCCTTTTTGTCCCCCTCAACACAACCGTCATAAATCCGCGACCAAGATGCTCGACCAGCTTCACCACGTATCGCCCGTGCGAGCCGCGGTCGACCTTGAAACAGAAGAACTTGGTGCCAAGGCTCTTGTGGCCCACAGAGGTCAAACCAAAAGACGCTTTGCCTGTCAGGTCAGACCATGTCCTGTCAGGACAGGAGAACCCATTCTACCCTTTGCATGATGGTTGGAAGGGTTGTATTTGTGTCACCTTGGTGTGCTTGAACAAGTTGCCTTTGGTTGTGAACTTTCTGAAATTCACTTGGGCGGAGCTTGCTTCGGTCACGCTTAGCCGCACTTAGGGTACTTTTCCTGAAAACCGAACAACCTGATTTATGATAGAACAGTTGTGCCAGACATTTCGGTCTGGCTGTGAACAATCTTTTCTAAGGCGCATCATTACAATATATATACCCTAGCAATCCAAGGACGAAGTTAAACTTATACATAGGGCTACGCACAAGTTAAACTTAGTCTCACGCCCACGACGATGTTTAACCCAGTTGATCGTTTCAACCAGAAAACAGGTAGACCGTCACAAGACAGATGTTCTTTTCTCATAACGTGTCAGGACCTTTTGTAGGCCCGCTTCTTGTTTAGGTCTTTGATAAGCCAGGTCAAGCTCTTGAAGCGGACCCTGGCCAACCGCATTACACCATGTGCACGTCCACATTTGTGAACTTGTTTGCTCCGGTCTGCGCGTCGCGCCCATCCTGGCAGGAGGAACGATGTTGAGAAGTAGTTCAGCTGTTCAAAAAACAACTGTCATCATGTCTTTCAACACATTCAATGTTGCCTTTCAAGACCATCATTTGGTCTTCATCGCAGAACGTATGGTAGAAGCGACTGTTCATTCCTGGGAAGATCGACGTCGAAACACCTGGCGACCTGACGACTTTTGGAAACCGAGTGTAACGACGTCAAACGGCAACATTTCAGCCATGGAACTTTTGGCCAGGATATCTTCCAACAGTAGATGCGACATCGCCTAAAACGCATTCATTATGTATTGTACTTTGTGATGACACCTTGTTTGAACATTTGTTTGGCAGGAATTGCAGTCAAGGGACATGCCATTTTGGCACCATCAGCCAGGCTAATTCCGATCTCCTACCACAAAAAAAACAAATTAACTCTGCAGTTATTGGAAGGTTCCGAACCGTTCCAAAGTACTCCAAAGTGATTTGTTTTAGAGCTGTTAGAAATCACTGAAGTCCTTGCGGCTTCCTGATTCAGCTTGCGGTAGCCCAACAAATACATACGTCCCGCTTTCTCTATATCTGATGCTTGTGCAGGGGTCCTGGGTCACCAAAATTTGGATCAGGTTGAGGTACCTCAACAAAAAATGAAAGGACCCTGGACCTTGTGGGGAATTCACTATTCAGTTTTTTTCAAGAATCCACACAAAGATAAAGAATTGTTGTGGCTCAAAGTTGAAACACATATAGGGTTACAACCAGAAAACCGTTTTTTCATGGTCACGAGCGCTGATGGTGTAAAGCAAAATCAATTTTGAGCGTGCTCGTGGCACCGCATGTCGCTGCCATGCATCATGGCTTTGGACAAGCTTCAACCACCGTGAGGCCCGGTCCGTTAACGCGAAGAAGCGGTTGATGCCTTTCCTGGACAGGAGCACCATTGACTTTGGGTAGACCATCATATTATGGTGTTGGTGTACTGTTGGGGATATAAAGCAGAAACACTCAAAAATCCAATACGTCAATGCGTGCTCTTTTCAATCCAAAACTCAGGGTTGCCAAGCAAAGAGGCACTCGGTTGTCATGCAACATTCCAGGAGGGGGTGCCACCTGTGATCGTTCCAAACAATCCTCTAACCAAGCAGACACAATCCGTGCATTATGCCCTTTGGCTTGGAATAGACATCCATATTCTTCACGAAAGGTTGACCAGTAGGTGAACCTCTTTTGACTCGATGATATCCGATGTGATCTTCTCCATACAGTAAAGTCCTCAAATGCTACATTGCATGCAGCACGGTAGTTGTTCGGATCATCGCTACGAACCACGGGACCCCAGAAGTTCATGTGAAGTAGCATAGACCTTGGTTCGCTAAATGTTTGATTAACCAAACAATAACTACTTTACAAATAGTTGACAATACAAATACACCAAATAGAGGAAAACCTTGTTCGATTCAAAATCAGCAACATAGTTGATCCATTCGATATTGCCAGCAAACCCAAATTGATAATATGCAATGTACAATGGCGCATGGTGTCCAATGAGAAAAAGTGAAGGTTGACGAGAGGACCTGATAAGCTTTCCGCATAAGGCAAACATAGTTAAACCACTATTTCAAACAGGACCTGTTTGTTTTGTGAATTGCTGTAGTTTGGAAATAGTACTGTAATATGCTACAAGGGGACACAATGGATCTGGAAGTTCTTCTGCCAAAAATGTTGATGTAGATCGACTTGATGGTACCCACCCGTCGTAAGACACATAAGTCCTACCTGGGTCCTTGGCTGAAGCCTCGCACCGGCAACATACATTGTTGGCCTTCCAATATGATTTGAACCTGAACAAGTAGCGGAACCAACTTTGATCACCACGAAGTTCAGTCAAAATGAACCGCCGTGATGCCACACCGATCTCAGTGCATCGGTTGAGCGACGCGACAATCCTTTCAAGTAAGGGGTACACCGTCTCCTCCAAACTCCAAATGAGCTGATTCTCAATACTGCAAAGCATGAATCTTGATAGGCGGGTCGCTCGTGGTCTAAATAGTGGTAAACTAAGGAAAATACCAGTAATCTTTTCATGGGCACCACTCACAAGTCCCATAGCAGCATCATCGCCATGCATACCAAGTGGGCATGCCGGCTTGTCAAGACATGCTCTGAATCGACGACTGGTCACTGCCACCTCATCCTGTACCGATTCCAAGTGGTTCCAATATGTTGTCATCGCTGGATTTGACATGGGAAGATCACATTCTCTCATCAGGAAATCTAAGACCTCATGAGGAAGCTGCAAAGGAACCTCTGCAATCTTCCGCGACCCGTCGGGGGCCTTCACAGCGACAGATACCAAGCACGGTTCCTCAGGTCAAACTTGGTCAAACTAACCAATGCCGTTGCGGCATACAATGCCAAACTAACCCATATATGAGCAACTGCTGTAGAAACCAAACATTGCAGACAAAATATGTGTGATTTTAATCATCACAAAGATCCAATGGAAGCTTCGTCGCACGAAAAAAGTTTCGACTTAGATTATAGCGATGGGAATATGCAGCAAGCTTTGCAGTAAAACTCCCTGTGCAACCACGTGCTTCCTCAGTATCAATGTTGATGTGGGATAGTGACTCCAGGATAAACTTAATGTACGTGTATACTGCACATGTCTGAACTTTGAAATGACATCAAGTTCTATATTCTACAGTTAAGCACCCAGGAACTGCATAGGTCGCCCTGGCATCAGACATCGCTTCTCTCGCAGATGTTGCCTCCAGAGCAGTCATGAGAGTGTCCTTCACACTAGCGTTACTGCAACAAAATTAAATACACATCCTGCTCAAAACAATATCACATATTGTGACCATATGACTCGAACTAAAATTGCGCAACAAGGAGCACTGGATGCAATCTTTTCGACTAAGTTTCGTTCCAGTGGTCCCCCAACACATCCTCCTGCACCTGCGAGGGCACTAAACAATTGTGTTTCCTTGTAGATATGCGTTCCATAGA